CACAAGTAAACTTGCACTCTGAGAGCGAAGTGCTCTGTTAGGATGATAAGGCTCTACGAGGTCTTTAAGATATGATGGAGCCTTGTCATTAAGGGCTTTGTATGTTAGGAGAAGGATTTTAAATTCTATTCTGAATTTTACAGGGAGCCAGTGGAGAGAAGCTAATATGGGAGAGATATGATCTCTCTTGCTAGTTCCTGTCAGTACTCTGGCTGCAGCATTTTGGATTAGCTGGAGGCTTTTTAGGGAATTATTGGGATATACTTATAGTAAAGAGTTACAGTAGTCCAGCCTGGAAGTAACAAATGCATGGACCAGTTTTTCAGCATCACTTTGGGACAGGATGCTCCTGATTTTTGCAATATTGCGTAGGTGAAAGAAGGCAGATCTAGAGACTTGGATTTTGTGTGATTTAAAGGACATATTCTGATCAAAGATGACTCACAGGTTCCTCACAGTAGTACTGGAGGCAAGAGCTATGTCATCTAAAGTAACTATATGATTAGACAGCAGATTTCTAAGGTTTTCAGGCCCAAGCACAATAACTTCAGTTTTGTCAGAGTTTAGAAGTAAGAAGTTGCAGGTCATCCAGGCCTTTATGTCTTTAAGACATGCTTGAAGTTTGACCAGCTGACCTGATTGACCTCCCTATCTCCCTTGTGCTCCTTGTCTAGCATTGTAAGTATCAACATTTCCCAGACAAAACCCAACAGTGCTTACTCTGCACCTCCACCTGTGTGTCTCATTCTTTTTCTCATATTGTCCTCTTTTCCTCCTCCTTCCATCGCTTCACACGCTGCTTCCCATCTCTCCCACTTGATCCCATTACCAACTGCTTCCTAACAGGAAGTTAGCTTCCCTGTTCAGCTGAGGAAGCAGGTGCCTCCCTATTGTTGTGTGATCAGACTCTTATACACTCCCACAGACCAGAGAGGTGAGCCTGTGTTTGTGTTTGTGTGCGCACCATTCATGCCTGTCATTTTAACCCTCTCCCCCAACACCCCCCCAACCCCAGTTCATAGAGTCTGATATTCACATCCAGTCTTCCTCTGCTGGCCCATAAGCTATTATCCACCCTTTCTCTCCACTGGATGTGACCTGACTTATTATGGTTTTAGGAAACAACAGCGTTCCAAATCCAAAGCCCTCTTGTAACTAAGTGCTTCCCTTTACTGCAGTTCAAACAACAGCTACTGGTGAGAACACAACAGTGTGATGGAGGAGATCTCTCATGCTGGGCTGCAAACTATAGGTTGGCATAGAATGTGGGACCTGTGTTTGTCATACCCGGTGCCTTTCTGTGTGGAGTTTGCGTGTTCTCCATGTGCTGTCATTGGTTCTCTCCGGATACTCCAGCTTCCTCCCACAGTCCAAAGACATGCATCTTAGGTTGATTGGTGACTCTAAAATGCCCGTAGGAGTGAGTGTGGGTGTGTGTGCTTGTTTGTCTCTTAGTGTCAGCCCCGTGACAGACTGGTGACCTGATCAGGGTGGACCCTGCCTCTCGCCCAGTGTCAGCTGGGATTAGCTCCAGTCCCCCTGTGACCTTCATATGATTAGCTATGAAAATGTAGATTTTCTAAAAAAGAATTTTTGAGATGATTCATCTTATTCATATTGCAATTATTTTATCATCTACAGTTTCCAAAGTCAAGAACTTTGGGGAAACTTTTAAGCTTTTTTTTTTGTCCCAGCAGTAGTTTTAGGGAAAATGTGTTTTTAATGCGATTTGGAGATTATAGTGTTCAGATTAACTGTCTTTTACTGCAATAACTTTGTTTATAATCCCTAAACAAGTAAAACATATTCAAACAAAACTACAGCATGTGCAGCTGCGTACGAAACACCTCCTTAAAAAGACAGTGATATACAACAAGCTGCTCTACTTCAAAACATAGCACCAAAACACAGAGGTTGTTGGTGAACTGAAAGTCACTGTATATAGTATTTGATCTTCACTTCCTCTGTAAATACTGATAAAGAATAAAAAAAAAATGAAACTTGGGTGCATGCAAATATCAGGTGCTGTAGTTCCAGGTTATGGCACATAACTCAAAACACTAGCGAGCCAGCGGTGACTCTATTACACAAACAGGACTAAGTGAGTCCGTGCCTGCTCTATTTCATGATCATTAAGCATTTAATTAGCAAGAAGAAAAAAAAAATACAAGGATGCAACTAGCCATGATTCCCAATGGTATCCTATTGCATTTTTTTTTTTTGCAATGACAGGTGTGTTGTGCATTTGCACAGATGCATATGTTCATACAAACGGGGGTGTAGACATCAAAGTGTCCCATATAGGTGTGAATGAAGATTTTTACTGATACCACAATCGTGAAGAGACAAACAGGAAGCAACACAATCCTGCACTTCACACCTGAACTATGTAAATGTGAAATTAAACAAATTGATAATGCACTGTAACTGTTCACTCTTCATATCTGACATCTGTGGTAAACAGCAAAGGGTTTCATTAATCTGTGTTCTTTTTTATTTCAAGATTGACGCGTGACTTTCGCCACTACTGTAGCAGTTTTTATTTCCCAACAGGAGATGATGGTATTCAAACTGATTGTGTAATTGAAAAATTTCTAAGAAGAATAGATGATCACTTCCTGTGTTTGCACAGGAAGGGTCTGTTGTCATCTGACATGCAGGATGCAAGCCACTAGAAACTCATTACTTTTATTATTAACTTTTTCTTTTGGAGAGAAAAAATTATGGTAGTGTTTTTTTGTTTTATGTCAGTACATATATGGACAACCACAGAGAAAAACTGTCTATTAAACATGAGGCAGGATATACATCATGGTAATAAGTGTAAATCAGTCTTACTGTAGATTTACCCACTGCACTCTGCTGTTGAGCCTTACATAAATGAGAACAACAGGCCAACAGCA